ATCTTTGGCCTCTTCAGTACATTGCCTGCTCACAGATTATTGTGTTGACAATAAAGAAAAGCAGCAGGTAAATGGAGGCTCCTTTCTGTTTGGTAACTTTGTCTCCTTTGAGAGCCCTTCATTTCTGAATTAGCAGTGGGCATTACATACCTGAAGCTCTTATGCAGCCTTTCCCAACCTGATGCACTTCCATTATTTGTTAGACTACAACTCCCATCATCCCTGACAATTGGCCATGCTGATGGGTTGGTGGGTCTTGTAGTCCAACAACATCTGGTGAACACCTGGTTGGGAAAGGCTGCTCTAATGTCGAGAAGGTTGCATGGGTGGGCTGCATCCAGTCCAGTCTGCTAAGGCCTTCCTTTTCCCTCTTACCTTCAATGTCCAAGCATTCATAGTGGATCCCGTCAACATTACAGGTGAAGCATTGCCTGCCTCTCTAATCTATGGTGCTAATTAATTCATTTAATGAGTACTGATTTATAATAAAAGCAATAATGACTGTTCAATCCATTACTGCCGTTATTATATATTAATGCACATTAAATTAATGAATGAAACCATACACATTCCATTACTTTTTCATAAGTAAATATATATTTGTTGTATAACAAAGGGTTCATTATGCTTTTCCATATAACTGTGGCTGATTGACTTGAAACAAGCAGAATATAATATATCTCTGCTCAAATTGTTTTGATAAAAGATGGTTAAGCTTTAAAATTTCCTCCAGTATTTTCCCTCTGAAACATCCAAAATCCCCTCTAGGGATTATAGTTTTTATTATTTCCCCATACATCATTTTTATAATCATTCCTATTGCTGATTGTATATGCCTCGGCACATTTTGCAGCTTTCACTACACCGTAGGCAAAATTCTTCTTTTATTGCTGCTATTTTTTTTCTGCTTTATGTGCCAGAAATATCCACCTGGAAAAGATAATGAATACTGAATATGATCATACTACTTGCACAGATTAAAATTGCATTAGGCAAAGAGAAATGTCTCAGCTAAGCAGGTTTGAGCTGATTTAGACAAAATGTGGATTTCTTGCCCCCTGAGCCTATGTTAGATTTCCAAAGTGTTCATTTTAACAAAAGGAAGTTCCTAGTGCTCATTGTTGTGGAAGTAAAGCCTAAAATATGCAGGGAACATGTCAAAAGTTATGAAATGACAAGAGCCCTTATAATCAACCATGACTATAGCTGCTCTCTATGCTTTGGAGGGGGGAAGTATGCAGTGAGGAGCCTGCTGTACTTGTGTGGCCTCCATGCATGGTTTAGCACTCTTACCCTGTTGGGCTCTAAATCACATGGGGAATGTTCATGAGCAGGCCATTTAAAAATAAATGTTAACTGAGTGCCTGTAGTTCACCCACATTGTAGCCCCAAAGCGCTTCAGGGGTCCCCACTTCAGTTCAGGGCACCTCAGACACATCCCACTTTGCCTTGGACAAGCCCAGAATCCCTCACTTTCATCAAATTTGGCATCCACCTGAATCTACTACACATCCCTAGTATTAACAAAAAAAGTGAAATAGTTTAGTAAACACTGCTGATGTACTTAGAATACAGCTACTAACAGTGTTTGAAACAAGACTCATGAGTTCATTTCAAATGCTTTTTTTGCATAATATACAAAATGTATGTTTACATTTATTACAATGTATTTCATATTTGCAATATCTTGAAATGCCTTATTTTTTCTCTTTCATAGTTATAGTTTTAGTCTATTTTTTTATATACCACATTTCCCACAAACACATCTGTGCTCAAGGTGCAGACTAAATACAGTAGTATAGTAAGTAACCATGAAACCTAATAAAAGTTACAGTATGCAATGTAACACTAAAAAAATTAACAATTAAAAGTTCACTGGAAATATATAAAAATAAAGCTCAGGTAACAATATCCAATAACTTCATATCCAAAAGTGGCCCCAAAGCTGATGATATTGGCACCTTGAAACCCACCCACCAATCTTTAATAGTTCCAGAGGCCATTTTCATTAGAATTCTCTGACATCCCTATTTACAGATTGGGGGGGGGGAGGATTAAACAGGCCACTAACATGTTCATTAGGCAAGTGTAGATGTAGAATTAAGACCCCCAGTGTCAGAGTCAAACCCTGGAATTTTCCAATCAAACACTGAAAATCAATAGAAGCATAGTATTGGAACGGTTCTAAACAGTATGTGACTTGTACATACAACTTGAGCTCTACACTTTCTTTCTTTAAGGTATGGTTAGGATCACTTCCCAATGTGCCACTCTTCCATTTTCCCTACTCCAGTCACTCCCAGCACTGCAAAATTAAGAGGAAACATCCCTGTTCTAATTCTAAGAGTTAACCAAAATACTGATGCATGAAAAGCTTTTCAGTTCAAAAGTGATTTCAGAATTTCCAGCTTGTCTGCCAGGAAGACAGCATTGTATTGCAATTTGGAAATCCTGGACAAGTCCCCTAAACTGAGAAAAAGGTCAAGCTTCCATGAAGGACATGTCTTTTCCATTACTCAAGTGAGGTTTCAGTGACAGATATAATTCCCAACTTTGTATCTTTATTCCCAGAAATGGATTCTCCACATATCTATATTTCCGGCTGAGCAGGCTGTTGTTTCAGCTACTCTACCTTTACCCCTCAGTTATCTTCTCTGCCTTAAGTGTTAGTGCTGCTGACAGTGATATTAATTTTCTGGATTTCGGAAAGTCAATCTTTGCTTATTTATTGAACTCTGACTCTCTTCAAGGATCTCACCAAACATCTTGATTTCTTCTATACTTCTGCAGTGCTTGATCCTTTTTAAAACTTCAGTTTAGCTCACTTAACTACTCACATTGTCAGGCCTAGTTCCTTTGGGATCCATAACTATTTCTCTATTTGGCTTTCCAAACACAGGAAAGTTCAGATTATTTTCTGGTCATCAAATGGACCAAATTTCACCTCATTTAGCCATCCTTAATATCTCATTCTTATTTTAAAGGTCTACCCTTAGGTTAGATGTCTAAATATTACTTATAAAACAGCTTGGGATAGAGACAGGAGCAGCTATTGTGGCACTGGCAGTGCAGATTCGGCCTCTGGGCAGCTGCACCACTACCATTACCAGAACAGTGCCGTGAAACCAATCAGGTGCACTTCTGCTACCCAAACCTTGCCATTGCCCTTCCTCAGCCCCACACTTTCCTGGTAAGCATCCACTGCCAGAATACCAGCTCTGCATCTGTGCCATGCCATGCTGGCTGCTCCTGGATAGAAATCTGAATGTTCAAGTGTCTGGGAAGAAATGGTCTATGTAGCAACATTAAAAACTCTTCAGTCTCTTCTCTTCCATAAGATTGTTTTCTGAGATATGAGCTTTGGTAGATCAAATGAAATATCAGAGGCAAATTGGTTTATGAGCTGGGAAAGCACTGCAATTAGTGAAGGTTTTTATGTCTTTAGTGGAGTTGTAATACGATACAAAGATACTGGAAACAAGTTCTGGAGGTAAATGATCAAGGACCAGGGGGCCACACTTATTTTGGATCATAAAATTGTTTTGCTTAATAGCTTGGATAATTCTCTACACATTTCTGTAAGACTTTTGGCTCTGAATCTCTCTGTAGTGGCCAAAAAAATAAAAGGTTCTATCCTGGAAAGCTCCAAAAATGTAATCAAAGCCCTAGAAACTAGAGAAATTGATGGCTGATACAGTTCAAAAGAGAAATGCTTCAATATTATTAGGAGTTAAGTGAGCATCTTTACTGTAATGTCCTTGTTCATTTCATTCTATAGGACTAAAATTTGTTTCTGTAGAAACCTTGTTTTATTTATTTATATTATTTGACACCTATTTTCCCTGCATTCAAACAGATATATGCGTGCACATGTATACAAAAGCAAACAGACACGTACCGTATTTTTCGCTCCATAAGGCGCACCGGACCATAAGGCGCACCTAGTTTTTAGAGGGGGAAATCAAGGGGGGAAATCTTATTCCCTCCCCCAGCCCCAAAGAGCAAAGAAGCCAAGACAGTGAGCGGGATCCATCCTGCTCGCTGTCTTGGCTTCTTTAGCCGCACACAACCTCTCCAGCCAGGAGAGGCTGCGCGCGGCTAAAGAAGCCATAGCCGCGCGCAGCCTCTCCCGGCTGAAGGGGCTGCACGCAGCTATGACAATACCCCCACCTCCCGCAAAAGCCCACAGGAACCGTGCACCCTTTAAGGAGTGCACGGCTCCTGCGGGCTTTTCTACGAGGAGGGAGAAGGGACTGACTGGCCGCGTCAGTCCCTTCTCCCTCCTGGGGAAAAGCCTGCAAGAGCCGCGCGGAGCTTGTGTGCGGCTCTTGGGGGCTTTTCCTGCCTGCCTCCCCCCTGCATTCACTCCATAAGACGCACACACATTTCCCCTTACTTTTTAGGAGGGAAAAAGTGTGTCTTATGGAGCGAAAAATACGGTATTTTTGACAAAGATGGAGATAAGCTGGCAATGGGAAATGTTGATGGCTTACCAAAGGGATCCTTGCAGCACAATCCTGTACATATCTGTTTTCAATAAGGCTTACTCTCAAAGTGTGGATATTACTGCAGCCTTAAAGACGGAGAGCCCTTAATGTCCTAGTTCAGCTTTATCAGGCAGACTTTTATTATGGAGGGGGAAACAGTAAGGCACAGATGTTTGCAATACATTTTTAAAGAATTAATATATGGAATTAGACAAAGTATATAGCTTAATATCTTTTCACAAAAGCACTGTTTCTTGGGATTGAGTTCTAGAGTGACAGGCAAATGAAGTGAACTGTGAAGTTCTAAATGGCAGCAAAAAGCAGTTGGCTGCTAACTTTGGAGATTCAACTCATCATTCGGAAAAACTTTGACAGTAAGAGCAGTTCAGCAGTGGAACAGATTCCCATGAGAGGTGGTAGACTCTCCTTCCTTGGGAGTTTTTAAAGCAATGGTTGGATGGCCACCTGTCACAGATGCTTTAACTAAGATGTCTGCATTACAGGGGGTTGGACTAGATGACAGTTGGGTGCACTCCAACTCTATGATTCTTTCAGTATTTGCTGCAAACAGGCTTATGAGAGAACTTCAGGTGTTGAATGCAATTTTGTGTAGTTTTATTAGGTGCTTAGAAGTAGAACACCAAAGAGCTGAAAGCATGTTATATCAGCTTTGTCAAAGTATTGTTATTATTTTAAAGCATCATGCCTGGTCTGTATCATTCTCCATCCTCCTTGTGTTCTTGTAACACAGACAAGTAAAGATATTTCCAGGAAATCTTAGCTGAGAAGGCTTTTGCGAAACAGTCTGTCTCTTCTAGTTGATGCTCTACAAGCAAAAAGTAAGTGATATCAGCAAGGACAGATGATGGAAATAATCCAGAAGAATGTTAGACACACCTAAGTCCCACTGAAATGAAGTGTTAAGTCCCTTTGACATATTGATTTCAGTTTGACTTGACTTCCTCTTTTAAATAGGAACCAGTGAAGGCAATGAAGGTCCTGAGTGAGTATCTTTAGGTGGTTGGAAGATGGATAGCAGCTAACAGATTGAGGTTACATCGTGACAAGACAGAAGTACTGTTTTGTGGGGACAGGAGGCAGGTGGGTGTAGGGGACCCCCTGGTCTTGAACGAGGTAAACATGTCTCTGAAAACCCATGTGTGGAGCCTGAGTCATTTTGGACTCACAGCTGTCCATGGAGGCACAGGTCAGTTCTGTGTACAGGGCAGCTGTTTACCAGCTCCATCTGATACACAGGCTGAGACCCTACCTGCCTGTGGACTGTCTCGCCAGAGTGGTGCAGGCTCTAGTTATCTCCTGCTTGGACTACTGCAATGCGTTCTATGTGGGAATTAGACTGCTGCATGAAGGAGATGCCATAGTCTTAAAAATGACACACAAATATGTATAACACATTTATTAAAATAAATACCAGATACTAGTAAAAATTCTTTTCATATGTGTGTGTGCAGGGAAGGGGCCAACAGGATTCTAACATGTGAACAGAGCCCATGAATGTACAAATGGTATGTGCGTGGGATCTTTGTGCTTGATTGAGAACCCTTCCAAAGTCAGGGTCCCTGATTATGCAAGCATTTGTACACTTGTGGCCTCTGCTCAGACCAGGAGGGCAAAGTCAGATTCAGAAGATGCAATCTCCCTCCATATTTGGGGTTGTTGTATGAACAATAATGATTGAATGTGACCAAATCACTGTTACTTGACCAAGACTATAGATTTGACAAGATTGTTTGCATACAGTAATTCAACACAAGTTGGTTTGAGTCTGGCACACCCTATGCCTTTTGGCAAAAGTAGAAGTGGAACACGTCAGTTGATATGGGATTATGCTTTACCTTTATTTTGCATTTACCGTATTTTTCGCCCTATAGGACGCACCTTTTCCCCTCCAAAAATGAAGGGGAACTGTGTGTGCGTCCTATGGGGCGAATGCAGGCTTTCCCTGCAGCCCACAAGCTTGAGGGATAGCGGGGAGGCGGAGCGCCGTCACCCCGCTATTCCCCGATCTGATCTGGAGGCTGGCGGGGGGGAGAAGCAAGCTTGCTTCTCTCCATCGCCAGCCCCAGAAACTCGGGGGACAGCAGGGGAAGCCGCTGCCCCACGGAGGCTAGAGAGGCTGTCCCTGAAGGCAGAAGAGGGAGACGGAGCGCTCAGTCTCCCTCTTCTAGCTTGGGGATGGCTGCGCAAACCTGGGGGGGGGGAATAAATTTTTTCCCCTTGATTCCCCCCCCCCAAAAGCTAGGTGCGTCCTATGGGCCGGTGCGTCCTATAGGGCGAAAAATACGGTAGTTCTTAGTTTGAGTAAGGAATTGGAACACACCTGGCATTGTTTTCAACATGTTCTGTTATCTCTTACTGGGTGTCTTTATTCTTTTGTGTCATAATGTAAGACTATTTCTCCTCTCCCGACACATCAGCTATAATGGACCATTGTCTGCAATTGACAAACTCCAGCCTATGAAAACTTATGCTGCAATAAACTAGTTGATGTTTTAAGAGCTTTATCTTTTATTGTTCTGTGACATCATGGCTGTTTAGCCAATGCCTAACACTCGAAAACTACAGTTGATTTTAGGCTACATCTGAAAGCAAAACATTTGCAAGTGTTTTGTTTGTTTTTTAAAAAACACACAAATAGGCTCCACAAGAAAATGAGGTTTTCTCAGATATTTGCCACAGATGCAACAATATTTGCAATTCTATGGGGAAATTCACCATGGAGCAAATCCCTGCAAACTTACACCTCATTACATAAATATATCCAATGTCAAATCTGCCAAACTTTCCATATTTATGGAAGTTAATAATTTACATAATTTTATCAAAAGGAGTATTACTGATCTTATACACGGGCTCATTGATTTTTGTCAGTATTATTATTAGTTCATCATCCCAGCATCATGGCTTCTATTCCTGCACCAATTATGTTTATTCAGCAAACAACTATTTGACAGAATTTGATAGTTACTAACTTTAGTTCTTCTTTTCTTCTCCAAGAAGGAGTGCTGATGCCCAAAGGAACTATTTGGAATGGATTTGTCCTCCTTGCAGGAATGGAACAATCTTAAGTTTTATATTATTTTACATGACCACCTTCTGCCAATTCCTTTTCCAACTGCACTACAATAGATGGAAGGAGATCCTATTTTCCTTCTCTCAACTAAAACAAGCCTCTTACATACCAGTGTGGAGTTGCTCAGATTTCTACAAGTTAGTTTCCAGATACACATCCACCTAGTTAAGCTTTCAAATGGTACCTTTGATTCCAATAGAATGAAGTTCGATAAGATTAATTAGATTTCGTTTAGCATCATGAGATGGAACTTTCCACCTTCATACCAGCAGCTTGTCACTAAGGATACAGAAATCCAATTCCATTTGCATTAAAAGGCAAACTTTCTACTTTGCGCTTTCTAAAACAATACATGAACTGAAACACACATGTCCCTGAATTTTGAAATGCAGTTCTTTAGCCAAGTCATGTGTACAGAAAAGTATACAGTAGGGTAAAAGTGTGCATTTAAAAAAATGATAAATTAGTGAAAATATCATAGGAAAAAATGCATTATATTAGGAGAACCCTTGGGGAAAGTATGTTGGGCAAAACTGCCTGGAAAATTGTGTATATTAGGATAAATTCACACAAAAATGTTGATGAATTTTCAGGTGGAGGACTAAATTTAAGATTGGGAAAGTAAGAAACTTGTCACCAACTAGGGGTGCTCCCTCTCTGATGGTGGATTAGCATGTTCACCAATTCCATGGGCCCAAGGAAGCAACAGGATTGCTCTCATGATGTAGTGAAGATAGTTAAAAACATAGTCATTAGGGAAAATCTTTCTTACCTTTGCTTTGTTCAAAGGATGAACATGTCACTCTTAACCAAGTCAGTTGCTTTAGGAATAAGGTGGGGCATGATCTAGCCAAAACTAAGCACTTTGAAGTTCTGTTGATGAAACATGTACTCAAAGCTCTGCCACTGAAATTAATAAGACTTCAAGGTGTATTTGCATGCCATATATACCTGAAACAAAGAGTTGGAAAATTTCAGAAGAAATGGGGGAATGAATATCTTACGAAAACAAAAGGACACCACCCAGGGGTAGATTTTTGATTTTGTTTTGTTTGTGTAGGAGCAAGCCGGAGTAATAAATCAAGTAAAATTGAGTATTAAGATATTCATGTTGGCTCAATTTAAACCACTGGAAATGTGATCATACATTTGAGCAGTGATAACAAATAGGCTTGTACATGTTTTTTCCTTCTACATGTTAGGACTTTGAATATTTGGCTAATGCTTTATCATGGCTGAGGTTGAAAGAGACTAGGTATGTGTGTGAAAGCATAGAGGGGGTTTACAAAATGTTTCTACAGGCACATGAAGAGGAAATCCAACACTTTTAGTAGGAAACGTTATCTTAGGTAGGTTCAAACCATATAGTCTTGCCCACGGCTAAATCTTGCAACGTTTCCACTATGCCATTCAAATAGCTTTTTATAAATAGTTAAACCACTCTTTTAATACTAATCTGTTGCAATATTTGTTTCTTGAAGTGCTGAAAATACAACATCTTCCGCATATGAAAACACATGCTTAAGACTTTCAACCAAGGAGATCTTGTCACACAAAAAGCCCCTTTGAGCATCCTTTGTTCTATTTGTGTGGAAGTTTGGATTTTATGAATGCAGGATGGCAAGTCAGACTTTTAGATATAGAGTGCAGTCACAACACACATTCACTTTACTTGCACAAATTCAATTATACATGCTTGGCTCAACTGGTGGCAGTGGCCTTCCCAGTGATGGTTGCAGCAGAGATCCTCTGCACAGGGCTTCCCTCACTTCCAGCAGGCAGTTTTTGGCTATGCATGATTTTGTGTTTGTGTGTTGCCTCTGGAAAGTACTATATTTTTCCATGTATAACACAAGACAACACCTATTTTTTGAAACTCCAAATTAAGAAATGGGGGAGATTGCCCAGAGTTTTAAGCTTTTCTTGAGGGGGATTGCTGAGAGTTGTTGAGCTTTGGGGGGTGGGGGGATTGCAGAAAATCACTCCCCTGCCTATCACAACAAATCATCTGCCAGCAGCAGTTGCCACAGCCACCATTCACCCGCCCAATTGCCACAGCAGCAACCAATCAACAGCAGGCCTTGCCACAGCCACCAATCACCTGCCCAGTCGCCACTGACAATCTCCTGCTCACAGGTGCAACCAATCACACGTTCCCCCTCTCAACTATCCATGTATAAGATGACCCCCAATTTCTATCATTTTGTTATAATAGAAAAACATCGTCTAATACACAGAAAACTACGGTAAAACTCACATTAGTTGTGACTGTACTGCGACAGCCCTGCCTTGCTTAGCTGGATCAAGATAATACCTGCAACATGTCTCATGGCCGACTCAGGATTTTAATATGGTTGCCAAACATTATTATTTCTAGTTGTACAACTAGGAACACAGCCTTATACCAGTTCAGATTATTTGCCATCAAGGCCAGTACTGTCTAATTCAACCCACAGCATGTATCTAGGATCTCAAGCAGAGATTCCCATCAGCTTCTTTTATCCATTTCCATCACCTATCATACCCTTTTAACTGAAGTTGCCAGGGACTGAGTTGGGGACATTTTGCATGCAAACCATGTGTTTTAACCATTGGAGAATGGCCCTTCTTCATGCTGGCATGATATATATCTCACCTCAAACAATGTTCAGAATTGAGTGCAATAATCCTTTGGATTTCACACTTCTCCAATTTTCGTAATGCAGTTCTCAGCTCAAATAATGGACATGCTTAAAAACAAATATTGTAGAACGTTGCTCTTTGAGCTCAAATACATGTTTAAATATATGGATTTCTTTTTAAAAGTCACCAATTGATGCAGAAATGTGACATAAAAACATATGAAGCTGTCACAGACTGGAAATAGAATCAACCATCCACCCTTTCCTCCTAAAATCAGAAAAGGAAGGTGATGTCTTATCCTTTGGTTTGATCTCAAAACCAGGAATTCAGATCTATATTGCCTCCATCCACAGAGGTACCATTGAATTATTGTGGTTAAGAGTCACTGACAGACAGATCTATTTCCTATGAATTTCTTAGATCCACTTTCTAAGTTGCCTAAGCTTGTGGGCATCATCATGTCATACACAAATAAATCCTATAACTGAATACGTGGTGAATCTGCCGGTTCTTGTTCTCCATCAAATTCTAGTGTGCTTTGCAAATTCAGACTCATAGGTTCTGCCCCATGCAGAGGCTGGCCAATAAATGCTCTCATCACACTCCCCAGGGGCCTTTCCCCAAATAAGATAACTTGATTATGTGTCTGTGATGTAATTTGGCAAGCCCCAGAGAAATATATATCCTTTTAGGCAATCCAAATTGACTTTGCAACTTAGAAGCATTTATGTTCCTCCCTCCTCACTAATATAGAAAGTGACAATGGAAATTTGAAGAAACAATCCTTCTCACTATTACAAATGTACACATGGTGCAAATTATGGTTTATATACCTAAGCCATTAAACATACTTTCTTGGTATACTTTACCCAGTACAGCTGGGTGTGCCACAAATGGTTTACAAACATGTTATGCACCAATGAGTACATAACTAAACTATGTAGATATTATAAACATTTCCATTTTCATCTAGCAGTTTTTTCTTTAATTGAGCTAAATTGATTAAGACTTATCAGTTTAATAAACAGATTGCCCTGCCAACTTCTGGCTTTCCTTCCCAGCCCTTTGTTTACAGCACTTCACTGCATATTACAGTCAGATCAGATTTATTTATACGGCGATAGACACATTGTAACTGGAGTAACAGGCCCCAAATAAAAGAGTATTACACGTACCAAGAAGCATAATAGAAACAAGACATACAAAACCTTCTATCTATCCCAAACCCACTCTGAGATCAGAACTCCTATCTTGATAGCCAAACTTAAAAAAAGGATACCCTCTTGACCTCTCCCTTCATACAGAATTCCAACATAATGCTGATCTGGCTACCAGGTAAATGCTTTTCAAAAGGGCAAAGATCTAATCCTTCCTAATGCCATTATATTATATGCAATAAACAAAGGGATTCCTACCAGATCTCGTCACAAGAGGCATGCTCTTTCTTCCAATGGGGTCTGGCTAAATCAACCCTCCATTAATGCTCCTGGCAGGAGATTAGGGTGCACCAGTATAAATGCTCTTCACAATTTAGGGAAGGTAAGAGAGTTTAGATACTTGTTGATCTGAAAAGATTTCCTGTCATCCAAACACAAATATATTGGGCAACAAGTTCCGAAAGAAGGGGCCTTCAACTAACCCCTGAAAATCCATGTCCTTAACTTGTTGTGTGCCCAGTTCAATCCCCAGCCCAGTATAGCTGAAGAAGTGTCTCCACTCCCATCGTTCTGCCCGGACACTGAGGTCCAGCGCCAAGGGCCTTCTGGCAGTTCCCTCACTGCAAGAAGCAAAGCTACAGGGAACCAGGCAGAGGGCCTTCTCAGTAGTGGCACCCGCCCTATGGAACACCCTTCCATCAGATGTCAAGGAAATAAACAACTATCTGACATTTAGAAGATATCTTAAGGCAGCCCTGTTTAGGGAAGTTTTTAATGACTGATGTTTTGATGTATTTTTAATCTCTTGTTGGAAGCCACCCAGAGTGGCTGGGGAAACCCAGCCAGATGTGCAGAGTATAAGTAATAAATTAATTATTATTATTATTATTATCATCATCATCATCACCACCACCACCACCACCATCATTATATTACACCTCTACATTACGCACTCACCCAGAGCACACCTTCCAGGTGCATCGCCCAACCCCACCTAGTCCTCAGGTTTTCATTCCACATCCATTGCCCCTCTTTAACAGCCGCCATTTTCAAATGATTGTTATAGTGTATTGGTTCCAAAAACTGCAGAAGGTCAGCCATGCAACTGATATCATCTATCTTGTTTTCTGATACATCCTGTAAAAACCTTTAAGGAGCTGACCTAAACATCATAGCTTGTTTCATGGAGGGTTGAAGTGTGAGGGGGACTTTGCATATTTGGCAAATTTTTTATCCCCTAAATTCAAGGAGAGGAAATTTGTGTGAATGAAGCTCCATTCACAGAAGGCCCTTCCATTCACTCAGTTTTGAGTGATTCACGTCACCATGAAAAGTGCCTTCATACATCCCTAAAGAGAGCAAAATATATCTCCCTGAAAAGATGCTAGTGCCCTCTTCATTTTTCTAAACAGTCTAAACATGATGTGATCCTGGCTCTCACTGATTTATGAGGTGTTCAGACTGAGAAGATTTGCTTTGTGGATCCCTGCATGTGCATATGTTTACTGAATTGAAATATTACAGACTCATTTTGTGAAATATAAAAGTTATGTCCACTAAAATGAAATGCTTGCCAAACTGTTTAATGAAATATTATGATGAGCTTTAAATAAGTAAGAAAAAAAGATATGTTCCACACACTCAGACTATCTGATTTTAAGTCACTTCCAGTATTGGATAAATGAAGTCTATTTTGAGAGGGGAATTTTGGGAGTGGTTTAACAATCAGTCCCTCTTCAAAGGGAACTTTGGGAAGTCTAACTCTATGAGAAAATTAGAGGTCTCAGAACCCTTAACAAACTACAGCTCCCAGAATTCTCTGTGAGAAGCAATGGCTGATTGAAGTGTTATCATAATGCTTTAAACATATGATGTGTAAACATATGGCCATCAAACCCTGCACTAGCGTACTTGTTGACAAAATATAAGCCCAGTCATCCCACTTATACTTGTCAAAATGGACTTGAATAAAACTATTTAAAATATTCATAGTTCATTATGCTTTTGTTTTATAGCTTCTGAAGTGATATCTGCAATCAGATGGTTGATGTTCTTACATTCCCATAAACAAAACTGACTAGCTTTGTTAACTACTATATAAAGGCCAACATTATTAGGGACGTTTTCTTGGAGTAATTGTTACAAAATAGGCAAAGCAGCAATTAAAAACCA